TAGGTTAGGTTAGGTAGCCGAAAAAGTTAGGTTAGGTTAGGTAGTCGAAAAAACATTAATTCATGAAAATTTGGCTTATTAGGCAAATCGGGCCTTGCATAGCAGGCTGAGAAGTGCGTTCTGGCTACTAGGTACGACATATATATATATATATATATATATATATATATATATATATATATATATATATATATATATATATATGTCGTACCTAGTAGCCAGAACGCCCTTCTCAGCCTACTATGCAAGGCCCGATTTGCCTAATAAGCCAAGTTTTCCTGAATTAATATATTTTCTCTAATTTTTTTCTTATGAAATGATAAAGCTACCCATTTCATTATGTATGAGGTCAATTTTTTTTAATTGTAGTTAAAATTAACGTAGATACATGACCGAACCTAACCAACCCTACCTAACCTAACCTAACCTATCTTTATAGGTTAGGTTCGGTTAGGTAGCCGAAAAAGTTAGGTTAGGTTAGGTTAGGTAGGTTAGGTAGTCGAAAAAACATTAATTCATGAAAACTTGGCTTATTAGGCAAATCAGGCCTTGCATAGTAGGCTGAGAAGGGCGTTCTGGCTACTAGGTACGACATATATATATATATATATATATATATATATATATATACAACTTTAGAACACTTTAGAACACAGTTTTGCATATATATATATATATATATATATATATATATATATACAGTATATGCAAAACTTCTTACATTCTTGTACAGCCACTAGCACGCGTAGCGTTTTGGGCAAGTCCTTAATTATAAGTTCCCCGGAATACGACCCCGCCAAATCGTTTAACAACCTGGTTCCCATTTTACTGTTGCGTAAACACAGGCTAGAGTTAAGGACTGACGCCCAGTAATTCCTCCCCGGCCAGGATACGAACCCAGGACAAAACGCTCACGAAACGTCCAGGCGGGTGTCTCACCACTACACCCCGGGGATCACGGAAACTCAAATGATTCCTAACAACATTACAGAGTTATATTGGTCAATTTAGCACACGCCCACTGTTACTATTGCTGGTCTGTTTCCTGTTATAATTTGTCTTCTTCAATGCGCCAGTTTAGCCTTATATCAGCAGGGATACAACCCCCCCCCCCCCACTATGTTAAGCCTATCACCACTATTGTTATAACCTGTCCTCTTGAAAATAACGTCGCTTTTGGCCGTTTGCTCGTATGGCTAAAAGTGTACGTAATTTGAAAATAAAGAAAAATTTAAAATAAATTTATGATTTTTTTTTTCAACAACAGTAAGTTAAGGGTCCTCTGGTAGGTTAGGTGGGCAGGAAATTCTCATAAAGTTTCAAAACGTTATGAAAAACGTTAATTGAAAGTTTCCTCTCCTAACCTTTCCAAGTAAGCCGGAGGACTCAAACAGAAAACGGGACAGAACGTCTCTTTTGAGAGTCGATTTCATTTCAAATTGCGTCCACTTTTGGCCATAGCGCGCATACGAGCGAAAAGCGACGTTATTAAGAGGATGGGTTATGTTGATAACCGCATGGAAAAATTATATCTCCTTTAGCACTTATCAGTTTAATTTCCATTTTTGCTATAATGTGATTGTTCTGCTACTCTTTTTCTGTAAAGGTATCCTTTTATTTGAATTCCATGTGCATTTGTGTACATAACTTTTATTCTGCTAGTAAGAATTGGAATACTTTTGTTTTTCCAAAGGCAGTTGTTCCGGTTGCTGAATTTCCAGTTCTAATTGGGGGAAGGTGTGAATGTTGATGTAGTCACTCCTGATTACTCCTTAACATAGGTGCCTCATTTAGCTAGGTAGCCCCACTATTTCCCTATGTAGTAATCTCTGTGGTCATATTTGCTTGCTCTTTCATACTGTGCCTTTTTTGGTCTCCTAGCATTTCTCATTTGCTTTTCTTCTCTCATTCTCTTTGCTGCCTTTCTATCCTCTTAGACATATTTTGTGTAATAAATACTGAATGACACTTCCCTTAATCCCCCAATTGGATTACAATTCAGGAAAATAACTTTCACTGGCGGATTTCTTTCAATCAGAAACCTACCTAGCTTACAGTAATCATCTGTTTCTATTGTTGTATCTCTGGCCTGAATTTTGAGAAGAATATATTTATTTCATTTTGGTCTTCTCTTCCAACTTGCCATGTGCTGCCCTCTGGCTTAGAGTGTAGATTATAATAGATCTTTCCCTCTCAACAAAGGCGAAGAGATAGGGGTGAACATGATGCAAGCACACAGGTGGATGAATAGGAATAACAAGGGTAATATTAATAAAGTATTAAATACAAAACACAAAATAAAACACTTAACATTGGATATATATTGAATAAGTTTCAGTTCAGGAAAGTCCTGGGAAAATGCTGGTTTGGAAACAGAATTGTTGATCTGTGGAACAGATTATCGGGTAACAAAACTGACGTTGGATCACTTGATTGTTTCAATCGTAGGCTAGATTATATATATATATATATATATATATATATATATATATATATATATATATATATATATATATATATATATATATATTAGTATATTTTGGTAGCAGTCTTTCCTGTAGACATATATAATTAAATATGACCGAAAATGTAAGATTAATAATTCTAACAGGAATTTTCTCAATCTTTCGTACATTTCGCTTCACTGTTGGAGGTAAATCAAAAATCAATTCTCCAAAATTCATTTTAATTCTAGTCTGACGCGACACGAGCGCGTTTCGTAAAACTTATTACATTTTCAAAGACTTTAGTTCACAAATACACAACTGAATAGAACTTACGCATCTCCGATTTTATATCTACATTTGAGTGAGGTGGAAGGGGTGATGTGGCATTAACACAAGACAGAACAAAATGTGGTATTAATAGGGTATTAATTTCATCAACACAAGACAGAACAAGAGTATTAATAGGGTATTAATTTCATCAACACAAGACAGAACACGAAACAATGGATATTGAATAAAAGTGTTTGTAGAAAGCCTATTGGTCCATATTTCTTGATGCTTCTATATTGGAGCGGAGTCTTGAGGTGGGTAGAATATAGTTGTGCAATAATTTGCTGTTGATTGCTGGTGTTGACTTCTTGATGTGTAGTGCCTCGCAAACGTCAAGCCGCCTGCTATCGCTGTATCTATCGATGATTTCTGTGTTGTTTACTAGGATTTCTCTGGCGATGGTTTGGTTGTGGGAAGAGATTATATGTTCCTTAATGGAGCCCTGTTGCTTATGCATCGTTAAACGCCTAGAAAGAGATGTTGTTGTCTTGCCTATATACTGGGTTTTTTGGAGCTTACAGTCCCCAAGAGGGCATTTGAAGGCATAGACGACGTTAGTCTCTTTTAAAGCGTTCTGTTTTGTGTCTGGAGAGTTTCTCATGAGTAGGCTGGCCGTTTTTCTGGTTTTATAGTAAATCGTCAGTTGTATCCTCTGATTTTTGTCTGTAGGGATAACGTTTCTATTAACAATATCTTTCAGGACCCTTTCCTCCGTTTTATGAGCTGTGGAAAAGAAGTTCCTGTAAAATAGTCTAATAGGGGGTATAGGTGTTGTGTTAGTTGTCTCTTCAGAGGTTGCATGGCTTTTCACTTTCCTTCCACAGCTCATAAAACTTTCTTTTCCACAGCTCATAAAACGGAGGAAAGGGTCCTGAAAGATATTGTTAATAGAAACGTTATCCCTACAGACAAAAATCAGAGGATACAACTGACGATTTACTATAAAACCAGAAAAACGGCCAGCCTACTCATGAGAAACTCTCCAGACACAAAACAGAACGCTTTAAAAGAGACTAACGTCGTCTATGCCTTCAAATGCCCATTTGGGGACTGTAAGCTCCAAAAAACCCAGTATATAGGCAAGACAACAACATCTCTTTCTAGGCGTTTAACGATGCATAAGCAACAGGGCTCCATTAAGGAACATATAATCTCTTCCCACAACCAAACCATCGCCAGAGAAATCCTAGTAAACAACACAGAAATCATCGATAGATACAGCGATAGCAGGCGGCTTGACGTTTGCGAGGCACTACACATCAAGAAGTCAACACCAGCAATCAACAGCCAATTATTGCACAACTATATTCTACCCACCTCAAGACTCCGCTCCAATATAGAAGCATCAAGAAATATGGACCAATAGGCTTTCTACAAACACTTCTATTCAATATCCATTGTTTCGTGTTCTGTCTTGTGTTGATGAAATTAATACCCTATTAATACTCTTGTTCTGTCTTGTGTTGATGAAATTAATACCCTATTAATACCACATTTTGTTCTGTCTTGTGTTAATGCCACATCACCCCTTCCACCTCACTCAAATGTAGATATAAAATCGGAGATGCGTAAGTTCTATTCAGTTGTGTATTTGTGAACTAAAGTCTTTGAAAATGTAATAAGTTTTACGAAACGCGCTCGTGTCGCGTCAGACTAGAAATAAAAATGAATTTTGGAGAATTGATTTTTGATTTACCTCCAACAGTGAAGCGAAATGTACGAAAGATTGAGAAAATTCGCGTTAGAATTATTAATCTTACATTTTCGGTCATATTTAATAATATATATATATATATATATATATATATATATATATATATATATATATATATATATATATATATATATATTTATATATATTGTGACGTGAAACAGTATCACAGCTATATTGGGAAGGTGTAATGTGGTTCTCATTCCGCATCAATAATAAAAAAAGCTGTTTTGGCTCTTGCATTGTGAAAATTTCACAGGATATGAAGAATAATCAAATGAAAAATGAACACAATTTACTCAAATATTAAACGTTAACAAACACATGAAAAAGATACCTGAAACCCTGATAACATACACTTGGCTATCATACAAGAAAACATAAAATTAACACATGAACAAACTTATGTTAATACAAGAAAATAATGGTGACAAAAATATATTTACAAGAACAACACCTGGACGCGAGGAGTGGAGCCCCACCTGGCATGGAGGAGTGGAGCCCCACCTCGCATGGAGGAGTGGAGCCCCACCTCGCATGGAGGAGTGGAGCCCCACCTGGCATGGAGGAGTGGAGCCCCACCTCGCATGGAGGAGTGGAGCCCCACCTGGCATGGAGGAGTGGAGCCCCACCTGGCATGGAGGAGTGGAGCCCCACCTCGCATGGAGGAGTGGAGCCCCACCTCACATGGAGGAGTGGAGCCCCACCTCACATGGAGGTGGGGCTCCCACCTGGCATGGAGGAGTGGAGCCCCACCTGGCATGGAGGAGTGGAGCCCCACCTGGCATGGAGGAGTGGAGCCCCACCTGGCATGGAGGAGTGGAGCCCCACCTCGCATGGAGGAGTGGAGCCCCACCTGGCATGGAGTGGAGCCCTACCTGGCATGGAGGAGTGGAGCCCCACCTCGCATGGAGGAGTGGAGCCCCACCTGGCATGGAGGAGTGGAGCCCCACCTGGCATGGAGGAGTGGAGCCCCACCTCGCATGGAGGAGTGGAGCCCCACCTGGCATGGAGGAGTGGAGCCCCACCTCGCATGGAGGAGTGGAGCCCCACCTCGCATGGAGGAGTGGAGCCCCACCTCGCATGGAGGAGTGGAGCCCCACCTGGCATGGAGGAGTGGAGCCCCACCTCGCATGGAGGAGTGGAGCCCCACCTCGCATGGAGGAGTGGAGCCCCACCTGGCATGGAGGAGTGGAGCCCCACCTGGCATGGAGGAGTGGAGCCCCACCTCGCATGGAGGAGTGGAGCCCCACCTCGCATGGAGGAGTGGAGCCCCACCTGGCATGGAGGAGTGGAGCCCCACCTCGCATGGAGGAGTGGAGCCCCACCTCGCATGGAGGAGTGGAGCCCCACTTGGCATGGAGGAGTGGAGCCCCACCTGGCATGGAGGAGTGGAGCCCCACCTCGCATGGAGGAGTGGAACCCCACCTCGCATGGAGGAGTGGAGCCCCACTTGGCATGGAGGAGTGGAGCCCCACCTGGCATGGAGGAGTGGAGCCCCACCTCGCATGGAGGAGTAGTGTTTGACCCAGAGGCTGGCGAGGTCAGAGCATTTAAACCCCCCTACTTGGTGACCAGGCACAGTAGGTTGATGACCAGGCAAGCACAAGGTTGGTGACCCAGGCAAGCACAAGGTTGGTGACCAGGCAAGCACAAGGTTGGTGACCAGGCAAGCACAAGGTTGGTGACCCAGGCAAGCACAAGGTTGGTGACCCAGGCAAGCACAAGGTTGGTGACCCAGGCAAGCACAAGGTTGGTGACCAGGCAAGCACAAGGTTGGTGACCAGGCAAGCACAAGGTTGGTGACTCAGGCAAGCACAAGGTTGGTGACCCAGGCAAGCACAAGGTTGGTGACCCAGGCAAGCATAAGGTTGGTGACCAGGCAAGCACAAGGTTGGTGACTCAGGCAAGCACAAGGTTGGTGACCCAGGCAAGCACAAGGTTGGTGACTCAGGCAAGCACAAGGTTGGTGACCCAGGCAAGCATAAGGTTGGTGACCAGGCAAGCACAAGGTTGGTGACCCAGGCAAGCACAAGGTTGATGACTCAGGCAAGCACAAGGTTGGTGACCAGGCAAGCACAAGATTGGTGACCGAGACAAGCACAAGGTTGGTGACCCAGGCAAGCACTAGGTTGGTGACCCAGGCAAGCATAAGGTTGGTGACCGAGACAAGCACAAGGTTGGTGACCCAGGCAAGCATAAGGTTGGTGACCAGGCAAGCACAAGGTTGGTGACCCAGGCAAGCACAAGGTTGGTGACCTAGGCAAGCACAAGGTTGGTGACCTTCTCACATTTCCGCCTGCAATCAATCAACTCAAACAAGTTAATATAAAAATAACAATAAAGGAAACTTCAGAAGTTTATTAACCCATGCGAGGCTGCTGACGTTTATACCCAACTCCCTCACACACTGTCAAACGCCTGTGGCCGTTCACAGGCTCTTGGGAGAAGCCTGACTCTTGGTGCAAGATGCTTCAAACTCTCCTCTTGCTCCAAAGTTATCCACCTGAGGCAGTACATATTGCGAAACTTCCCACGCTAATTATTCCTGACTGGTTAAACTCAGAGATCATAATTGCACCAGGCACCTTGCGTTAAAGGATGAACACAAGAAATTCTGTTCGTCCATACAATCTATTTTTTCTTCCTAAAACTCCTTCAAGTTTATATAAATATATATCCAACACGGCCAATTGTTTAATTCTTTGTCCATTTGTTAGAAAATCCTCACCAAATTGATTGGGAGAGGGCTACTTTAAAAACGAATTGTAAGTCATTTTCAATAGACACATTATTGAATCTGCTTTAATACAGATCACAGAATCATGTAGTTTGAACATTAATAGTGGTTTGCATAATTTAGATCCATTTTTTTATTAATCAGTTAAAGGGCGATTTAAGTAGGATTATTGATACACATTTATCTCAATATCTTATTAATATCCCCTATCTAATTAAAGACATTGCTTCTCACCCCACCTCATTTCTGCCTTTATAGCCACACCACTGAACTCAAGATACTCACGGGCTCACCATAGCCCGTGCTATATGAACATTTCGTTCTGAGTAGCTAAATCTAAAACAACAACAACTCAAGACATATTATAAACATTTATAGTGTGAACGACTGCACACACGGTGCCGTCGTGTGGTCTAGTGGTTAAGGTACCAGGTACGCCAAGGTGCATAGTGCTCCTGGTTGTCTGGGTTCGAATCCTTCTGGGGTGTGGAGTTTTCAGTTTATATATATATATATATATATATATATATATATATATATATATATATATATATAATATTTATCATTAAATGTGACCGAAAGGGTGAAATAAATTATTCTAGCGTGAATGTTCTTTATTTTCGTAATATTTTTCTTCACTTGAGAAGTTAAAATATTAACTCTCATAAGTTCATTTTTACAGTTTTATTTATGAAAAGCAGAGTTCGTATGATTACACAATTTCTTGCTGCATGATATATACTCGAGGATGAGGTGATAGTTACGAGGTGACGGGGATAGAGCGAAAGTGAGGTGCCTCACTTATAAGTCCATTGTATCATGTCAGTCTCCTGTTTGCATGATCAAATTCCAAGGAAAAGCGTCCTCCTTAAAGAGGCTGGAAAATGGGACTCCGCAGGGAGGAATACTAAGCCCCTTCCTTTTCAACTATCTCATGGAACAATATATGAAGCTCAAGTTACCAAAAGCCAAACTGCTTAACTATGCAGACGACTTTGTGGTCATCATCAATGGTAAAGGCGCCAGGAACCATGAACAAAAATGCCTAGACATCATCAGCAGGGAAGCGGAACACATAGCAGTGAAAATAAAAAGCAATAAAACCAAAGCAATGACCGTTAAAATGAGAACTCAAGTCATCGGACTAGCAATACAAGGACACGAAATTGAGTGGGTTACCTCTTTTCAATACCTTCGAGTCATAATAGACAGCTAGTTGAAATTCACTCAAGAAATTGAATATCTTCGGCAACGTTGTAAAGCCAGAAACTCAGCTTTGCGCTCCCTGACAAGTCTTAGAGATGGTGCATCTGTACCAGTACTCAAAATGTACTACGTTCAAGCAATTCGGTCACTCATTGACTATGCTGCTCCTGCTCTTACATCCCTCAGTGATAACCAATGGGAGAAACTGGAAGTCTCAAAATGATGTTCTCAGAACAATGCTGGGAGCACATATATGGATGTGTCGAGAGAATCTAAGAATGGAAATCAACTTACCAGCCTTGGAAAACAGGATCAAACAAAGAATAACCACCATAATAGCAAAACTTGTTGGAACCACCACCAGACTATCAATCAAAGATATCATACAGAAATCGCTTCACAGAAACCTTCAATATAGTACAAGTGGATGGACAGATAATCTAGTAAAGATTCTAGAGAAAGTCGACTTCAAATGGACCATTAAAAACAAAGGAGAAGATAGAACATATCAACACTTTCGGCAGCCTCCTCCATGGGAAGAATCGAGTCTAAAGATAATCATTGAAGGATGACCGGCCAGAAAATCAGCATGTGACTCGCAGAGGCTCAAAGCAGTCATAGAACAACAAATGGAAACCATCTTCAGACCTACAACCACTCACACCTTCACAGACGGATCAGTTGATCAAGAAAGATTCTGTTGGGGCAGCAGTTTACACTAACAACCATGAAGCTTACTGGAGCATGAACAGTGGGTGCTCAACATTACACACAGAATCATATGCCCTGAAGGAGGACATAAAAGATGCAATTGAGAATAATTTACATGATGTCATCTTTCATACCGACTCGAAATCTTCGCTCCAGGCATTGTTATCCAGCCAGCAAAGAGATAATATAAAACTCATCACATTAGTGCAGCTACCCTAGACTATATGAAGTGGAGTACAATGTGTCAAAAAAAAAAGCTAACTAGGTGATGCTAAAAAATCCCCATCACACAGGATGGTTAGTCATACAGAGGCATGAGATAAGCAGTCTGCATTGGCAGACTCCGGGTGCATTTTGAGGATATCATCAACACAAGAGTGAATAAGGTAGCAGTGGTAATAAAAGTCCCCATCTCGCAGGATGGTTAGTCACACAGGGCCATATGTTTAGTAGCCTGCACTGGCAAATTTTGGGTACACTGTGAGGATATCTTCAAGAATACGAGAGTGAATAAAGTAATTGCAAAGCTCCAGGTACCTCATGCCAACTGGTCTGAAAGGTCTAATAACTGGGCATTCAGTGATGAAGTGCGGGAGATCGTGCCGCAGTTCCTGCTCACAGAGTTTGCAATTAGAGTGCTCAGGATTGGGAGATCCGTCACCTGCAGCCACCTGCCACAGGTAACGGTAACCCAACCTGATCCTTGCAACCCCTGTGTCGCACAGTCTAGTGGACGTTTTGTGCTGCCCATAGATATAGGTTTCAGATCTGAACAAATCATAGCTTTTTATACTAGTACTTTCAGGTCGTTGGGAGTCAGTAAGTTCTTTCCTATCAGACTTGAGTGTTTGGACCAATACAGTTTTGATACCAGAGATGGGGATACCTAGATCTAATTCAACTTCATCCTTGTTACACGCTAATTTGGCTGCAATGTCTGTCTCATTATGATGGGTTATATTTATGTGTGAAGGTATACATACAAAGGAGATTCGAGACCCTTTACTCTGTGCAGCAATTAGGTCATTTATAATTGGTAGTATGAGGTTCTTGCTGTCGATCTTCCAGGAGAAGTTTTCGATTGCTTGAAGAGCAGACTTTGAATCACAAAATATTATTCCTTCTCCAATGTTTTTTAATGTACTGGTAGCTAGATGTAATGCTGCTAGTTCTGCTTGTGAGGAGGTCAGCCAGTTGTTTAACCTGACACTGACAGTCTTTGTGCAAATATTATTTCTATAAAACCTACATGCTGCTGCAGTCCGTCCAGTAGAAGATTGGACTGAGCCGTCGGTGTAGACACAGTGCTCGTGAGATCTAAAATTCTCGATGGAGGAGGCAATTGTTTCAAGTGTGACAGCTTTGAGTAGAGCAAGATTCTCATTATCTTTCTTGGTGACAGGTGTGTATGATACTTGAATGGTGGGGTTCAGATAAAGAGGAATATCAGAGACAGGTAGATTGCACTTAAAAGGAATGTTAAGTTTAATGAGATTGTAGGCATTGTTGCTCAGCTATTTATCATAAAAGGAGTGAGTTGGTATGTCGGCACCAGTCAATAGGGTGTTAACAGCACTAAATAATTTGTCTCTGAGCAATGCAGGAGATGTAGGGTCTCTCATGACTTTAAAGCAAAAAGTTGTGTTGACTTGCATGATTCTTTCTAGTATGGTTGGAAGCTTCAGTTCTTCCCTCATGTTGATGATTCTTGTGCATCTCGGGACACCAAGAATTATCCTCGTGGATTCATTCTGTACTACTTCAAGTTTGTCAAACACAGAGGAGGGGAAATTAATTAAGTGCAAAGCATTATAATCAACGAGAGATCTAACAAACATCATATAGGATAGTCTAGTATATTTA